AAGGCAGTCCCTGACTCATCATCACCAGATTTTCTCCGGCTTTCCCTGTTGCGCAAACTGATGTTTCACAAAATGGCATCTTTTGACTATCCAGCTGTAAAGTGAAACTCCAGGTGGCTGAAGTCCACTTGCAAAGAGATTAAGGACAATCTGGCAGGTGCTTCATATTGAAAGCGAACTAAGAAGCAACCTGAGTAACAAGGAGATGACTCAAATACTCCACCTCACAGACAGCCAGAAAACTCAGAAGGGCCATGAAGCAGAACCACCATATCTAGCCTGACCAGAATCAAGTAGGAGCCAATGGCTACTGGTATGGAAGAAACATACTGCTAAAAGCTCAGATGAGAAATAATGACGACAGGCTTTCAACTGTAACATTCATATGTTCATTTATTCAACAAATACCCATTTTACTTCTAATAATCTTATGATCTGATGGGGAAAATACATAAGCAGCTAAGATGCACTGGGAAGTTCCTGTCCTCAAGAAATATAAAATCAATTCAGAAGTAACATTTAGTCTGCAAAGACTAAAGAGATCACCTGGACCTCAAAGGCAGCTCTCTTGGGACAATGAGTATTTATTTCTACATATACTACCTTGACACTTTAAAGAATGAGGACTGCTTCATCTTCACTTTAAATGAGACCTTCAAAAGGAAAAAAATCTGCCCCCCCAAGATGGACACTAAAGATATTATAAAAGCTGTTGACTAGGCTCTTAGATCCATTGACTTACTGAAATTTTTAAAGTAAATAGAGTATTTAGACACCTGTTTATGTTCTTTGGCTCTCAGACTATTGAATAAATATAACAGTAATTCAGAGATACATCTCTCATATCATGACACGTATTAAAGCTGACTGCTAATAATGGCATCTTAGCATTCTCCCATCATGGATGAACTCAGGCCATAGTCCCTCCATACACTTAGCATAAAATGCTCATTAGTCCTAAACTTCTGAAGTTAATGTAGGTTTTAAGTTAAAAAGCATCATTAAAAAAAGGCTAGGGATATAGCTCAGTTGGTAGAGTGCTTGCCTAGCATGCACAAGGCCCTGGATTCAATCCCCAGCACCATCAAAAGGTGGGGGGACATCATAAATCATAAAAGAAGTATCTGGTCAGGTGTGGTGATACACACCTGTAATCCCAGTGACTCAGGAGGCTGAAGCAAGAGGATTCCAAGTTTCGAGGCCAGCCTTAGCAACTTAAGTGCGGCCCTAAGTGACTAAGCAAGACCCTGTCTCAAAAAAAAAAGTTAGGGATTTAGCTCAGTGGATGGAGAAATAAGATAAATGCTAATTAATTCCAAAGAATTCCACTGGTTTGATTTAAAAGCCAATGGTAAATCAGATTATTTGATATGACCATGAGTTTGAAGGGAAGATGGACGATGATGGGGAGGGAAGAGAAAGAGTTCAAAAGTGCCTGTATAATGGAGAAGACAAAAGACACTACCAAAAGTCACTATCTCTAAATTCAGTTTAAAACCAATTCAACCAGCTGGATGTGATGATGCATACCTGTAACCCCAGCAGCTAGGGAGGCCAAGTTATGAGAATCATGAGTTCAAAGCCTGCCTCAGCAACTTAGCAAGACTCTGTCTCTAAATAAAATATAAAAAGAGCTGGGGGTGGTGGGTTCAGTGGTTAAGCACCCCTGAGTTCAATCTCCAGTACCAGGCCCCGCCAAAATATCCAACCATTTCATTACAGTAAAATAGGAGAATAAGTATGTGTAAGTGCATCTACTGTATCTTTACATTCTCTGAGCTTAGATGAAACATTTTCTTGTAAAAGGAATATTAAATATAATATACACTGAAATATATTAAAACACACAATAGCAGTTTATGCCCATCAGTATTTACTTTATCAGGAATATTAAAATCTATTTAAGTTAGCAAAAACCCAGGGCCTAAAAGAAAGATGAGTGTAAGATTTTCAATGAAAATTTTGTAAGTCTGGATTCTGTAATACAATACAAAAACTAGGTACACTATGTCAATCATTACCAAATCAACTCCCCATTTTTCCTTTTTTTTAATATTTATTTTTTAGTTTTAGGTGGACACAATATCTTTATTTTATTTTTATATGGTATTGAGGATTGAACCCAGGCTGCACGCATGCCAGGCAAGCACGCTACCACTGAGCCACAACCCCAGCCCCATTTTTCCTTTTTTAATGACTTCTTTGGAGGGTTGAACTTCCTAAAAGAATAATAAAGGCAAAAGGTAAGTTAAAGGTCAAGACAAAGCCATGCATTTTACTCCTCAGCAAATACATTTAGGAAGACAGAAAGGACAAAAAACATGAAGTCAAGGAAAAGCAAGAGTGCTTTCTCCTTTTCAGCATTTCACCAGATCATCTTTCCTTCCTAAATTGACCGGGATGAATCCAATTTTGTTTCCTCTACCTTAGCCCCAGGTTGCTAGTCTTATCTGGCAGAGGTATTTAAAAGTAGTATTTTCATACTAAATAGAATCTTAACTTATAAACTTAATTAAAACTCCTGATGCCAGCTGGCCACTAGATGTAGTTCAGCAATCTACCTCATAAACCCTAGCTTCCTTCTCTGGTCCATCCCCAGACTAAAACTTTCCAAACCTTTACCACCATCCTTCAGCTTTCCACCCAGCCTCTGCATCCTTCTATATTGGCAGATGCACACTCCTTTGACCTCCTGACCTGGAGGGAGGGGGGCCTCACTCTCCCTCTCCAAGACTCAAAAAGCCATCTACTGCTGCCCTGGACCACAATCCCTTTCCCTTCTCTGCAACCTGCTCTGTTTGTTAGCCCTACCTTTCTCTATCTTCAGGATCACCTTTTGGGGGGGGGGGGGTCAGGGGGGATGCGGTGGGCACATCGCCGGTGATTGAACTCAGGGGCACTCAACCACTGAGCCACAACCTCAGCCCTATTTTGTATTTTTGTTTAGATACAAGAGTCTCACTGAGTTGCTTAGTGTCTCACTTTTGCTGAGGCTGGCTTTGAACGAGACCCTCCTATTTCAGCCTCCAGAGCCGCTGAGATTACAGGTGTGCAACACTGCACCCAGCTCTTCAGGCTCACTTTTCCCAGTAGCTTGTTTCTTTCACCATCCAGCCATCCAGCAAAAACTGTACTCTTGGGGCTGGGGTTGTGGCTCAGAGGTACAGCACTCTCCTAGCATGGGTGAGGCCCTGGGTTCGATCCTCAGCACCACATAAAAGTAAATAAGTAAAATAAAGATATTGCGTCCAACTACAACAAAAAATAAATATATATAAAAAAAAAACTGTACTCTTTCCTCTTCTGTACATTTACTGACCAAGATGGCAATTTATATGAACTGCTTCATCTAACTCTACTTCCATTATTTTCACAATCTATTACAGCCCATCTCTTCCATCTTCTATCCACTCACCTATGGTTTATTGAAACTATTATAATTTCAATACAAATAATCTTCTAAATGCCCTACCAAAGAAAGCCTTCTTTCAGCAGGGCACAGTAGCACATGCCTGTAATTCTTGGAGACTGGGGCAAGAAACCAAAACTTTGAGGGCAGCCTCAACAATTTAGCAAGACCTGTCTCAAAATAACATTTTTTTTTTTTAATATTTATTTTTTAGTTTTCAGCGGACACAACATCTTTGTTTGTATGTGGTGCTGAGGATCGAACCTGGGCCGCACGCATGCCAGGCAAGCGTGCTACCACTTGAGCCACATCCCCAGCCCCTCAAAATAACATATTTAAAAAGGGCTGAAGATATAGCTCAGTGGTAAAGCATTGCTGGGTTCAATATCCAGTACCAAACCACCAAAAACAAAAATTATGTAAGCAAATACTCTTGTAATTTTATAGTTCTTATTTGAAGTTAGTTCCTTAAGGCATCAGAATTTGTACATTTGGTTGGAACTGTGTTCTATCACCAGGTGTGGTGGCGCATGCCTATAATCCCAGCAGCACGGGAGGTTGAGACAGGAGGATCGTGAGTTCAAAGCCAGCCTCAGCAAAGACAAGGCCCTAAGCAACTCAGTGAGACCCCATCTCTAAATAAAATACAAAAGGGCTGGGGATGTGGCTCAGTGGTTGAGTGCCTCCGAGTTCAATCCCCCATATCAAAAAAAAGAAAAAAAAACAAACAAAAAAAAAACTATGGTCCATCGGATCTAGAATTTTATCTCTGCACATTGTGTGGGGGAACAATGTAATCCCAGTGGTTCAGGAGGCCGAGACAGGAGGATTGCTAGTTCAAAGCCAGCCTCAGCAACTTAGCGAGACCCTGTCTCTAAAAAAAGGGCTGGGGATGTGGCTCAGTGGTTAAGCACTGCTGGGTTCAATCCCTAGTACAAAAAAAAAAAAAAAAAAACCAAAACACATTATAAGACACAGCTGCCCTCCCAGATGTCAAATAAAACATTTACATGTATGTTCCCAAAACACCTCACTTTTCTTCAATAACCTAATAAGAATCCCACACTTGAAATCACGTCTCAGAATCATGAGTTCTTTCCCGTGCTGTTATATAAACAGTATTTTACATATAATTAGAGTAAATACATTAAGTATTACATTAGCAATACTGTGCATCCAAGAGCAGAAGTGCATATTTCGGGCTTTCTCTGACCAATGGTTTGTTTCTTGTACCTATCAGCATAAAAGAATATAAGCAGTCTGGTTATGCATTTTTCCAAGATGAACTCCTTTCAAGTTTCAAGTTTCAAGAGGACTCCAAACTCTAATAGAAGCTGATAACAGTCTAATGACATCCTACATGATTTCACAAAGTTCAGTTCCATTCAGCCTGTGTCTTTCTAGACTGAAGAAATCACGAGTAATCTTATAGGCTCCAAACTAAAACAATAATGCAGGTAGATCTATAAAATTTATTTTTTAATTTTACAGATGTGTAAGTTAAGAGCAATCTCACCCCAAATCCCAGATTTAACTTAGGAAAAGCAGCCTTCAAAAACACCTCTGACAATCACCATACCCCAAGACTTACAGGAAATCATAAGGTAGTCCTCACAGTTGCTTTTGTCATCATCTTGCTGGTCCACAGGGATCCCGTTGGCATCTATGACTGCTTCGGAGGCACAGTCTGCTACCAATACTTCTTCTGAAACTACATCGGTGGTCAGAGGATCAGTGACTATTTCTGCTTCTACAACACTATCATGAACCACATGTTCAACATGCCCAACGTCAGACACATGTATAGATTCACTTGTCAAGACGTGTTCTGGCATAGACATTGAGGCTGAAGTAATGTCAGAAGCTAAAACATCATCTGGAACTGTGCAATGTGCTAAAGAAACTTCTTCAGTTACATCTGAGTCCAGCACTTGCTCAGGAATGATGACGGTTTCTGATACATCTGCTTCTTCCATGATATCTGGGCATTGAACATCTTCTATAACAACGTCCTCAATAACATCTTGAATTACAACTGAGTCAGGGTCATCAGGAACAAAGTTATGCACAGTTATGTCTGAATCCACAACATCTGACACAAAAACAGTTTCTTGTACTTCCACAACAATTTGATCACCATCCATGTGTGTTGCATCAGCTCCTTAAAAAATAAATAAATAAAATGACGAATTTCAGGTCAGTGTGTGACTATCACAACTGAGTAAATGTTACTTAACTCCTACCAGGACAACAGACTAGTTCCTCAGTTTTCTCAACATTAAGATAGACTAAAGAAATAAAGAGGGAATATATTTTTTAATCATATTGGAAAGATACTTTTAAACACAACAAATTTCATACACTTAAATCAATGGATAAACACTAGGAGAACAAAGCAATTGAGGCAGTCACAGAAGAAATATATTTAGGAAAGTAAAATTCTAGATACTCTAAAATTAAACTCATATTCATAGTTACTTTAGGGATGATTATAAAAATTATGTAATGTCACTTCAGGTGGCAAATATACCATTTTCCTTCGGTATATGTGTTTTTTAATTTATTTTCCTTCTTGCTCCATCTCACCCTCTTCAACTCATGTTTTATCTCCTTTCCATCTCTCCCATGTGTTTCTTTTACTTCCCTTCCATTTTCCCCCTTTCTTCCTTTACATCCTATGTTCTAATAGACCACCAACATCCTCTATCTACGACTATGGAAAATTAGATATTAATATCTGAATATGACATAAAAGGATCAGGGCATGAATCAAAATAGGGATAAGAAGGTCACAGTTTAGGAGGAAAGACAATTGGTCAAGGATATCTATCCCTGTGGATAGATAAAGAACAAAAGCAGAGCTGCGCTAGGGCAGTACAGGATGAGGGTAGTTAGAGTGGCCCTACCCCAACTTCACTAGAGTACTCCTCCTCCGTAGAGCCTCCTCCCTGCCCCAGGACCCCAACCCCCAAGGCAGTTCCTCACAATATAGGAAACTTTAATCTTGTCCATTTTACAGTTAAGGAATCAAGGTAGAGGATTGAATCAGTTGTAGCCCAATGAGATTAAATGACTTAACCAAGATCACACAGTTGTTTACACAGCATATGGTGCTCAGTAAATATTACTCCAAATGAATGCCATAAATGAGAAGAGAAATTATACATCCTTACCAAAAATATAAAACAAAATAAAATTAAAACCAATATCATGGCTGCTGGGGTTCAGAGGAAAAGCAAAGAGAGTTTTATATGTCTTACCAAAAAAAGCTATTAGTACTTCTGGTTGAGACTCAGACCAGCCTGAGTCCAAGCAGATGCCTAACTCAATGACTCCGTGTCACTGGCCAGGTCCTCAGAGAAACATATGGCTTTGTCAACAAACACAAATGAGCAAAAGCCAAAGAATATTAAAAATTACAGAAAGTCTTTAAAAAGTAATAATCATTTTAATTACTTCTAGAAATCAAGAATATTCAACTTTATCTTCAATATTATTGTCAAGTGATAAATCTCCATTTGGCAGACATGAAGAGAAATGCATTTAGTGGCACTGGTTACAAAATCTAAATCAGAGAGGAGGATTATACACTTAATAGTTTTGTGACCTTGGGCAAGTCATTTAACCTCTGAGTTTCAGTTTCCTCATCAGTAAAATGAGGACAATAGTATCTGCCATGCATACCTCACAGGACTGTGGTGATGATCAAATGGGAATGTATGGGAAGTAGTCTGAAAAACTGTAATGAGAGGTTTCATTATTATTACGACATTGGAAAACGGAGGCCCTGGCAGATTAAGTGACTTGCTCAAAGATAAACAAATACCATAAGTGTTAATTCAATCTACCACTTAGTCCACAACCCAGGTTTGCTTATGGTAAGATTAACAAATACTGTGCATTTTTCTCCAAAGAGCCTGGCCTCTCTTTCAAGCACACGTTAATTATACTTCTTGTTCCAATTAAGAATTATAAATTTGGCATTTATCACGATCAAACAGAAATTACCAAACATCAAAGACTATTCCAAGTTATTAAGAAAAACATACAACCTCCCCCAACTAAAGTTAAGAAAAATTCAAAAACTGAAAGTCACTAATATTTAATTTTCTGATAAAGTTAATTGTTATTTCTTTAATTTCTTGCAATCTGATCATTTCAAGTCTAATGAAAAACTCATTAACATCTTACTTATAAGGATAGCTAGGCTAGTGTGATGTAAAACCATGTTACATTATAAAACCAACTATAATCACGTTACAATGTTACATAATTAGAACACTGGATACTCCCAAAATAATGAAACTTTTTTCCCCCATTTCAAAACTTCATGAATACAATCTTCCTTGTACACTCAGGGAGGGAACTAAGATCATCTTCCCGAAGCAGACTGCTCTTTTGGGGAACTTTTGAGATAGAACACTATGAAAGTAGGACAGAATCAGGATGTAGAGGACCTTGGATTTATAGTTTATCTGCTGGGTAACAGAGAACAAAGAAATGACATGATCCACTGTTATGATGAGTACTCTGATCAGTAGGCTAGATAAATGAGATTTAGGGTACGAAAAATAACTCAAAAGTTATTACAAACTAAGAATGAAATGATAGAGCCTATCTATGTGACAGACTATAATGAAGAGGAGATGTAAGCAAGGAACATTTTCACAGGGACAACCAACAGAATTCAGTGGGATAACTGAGCAAGATGAGAATAACTGAAGATAACACTAAGGTTTTGATATTGCTATTGTTACAAGTTGAGTATACTTTATCCAAAATGCTTAGAACCAGAAGTTTTTGTTTTTGTTTTTTCAGATATTGAAAAAGGTCGCACATACAAAATGAGTTATCTCGGGGAATAGAAACAAAGCGTAACCATGAAATTAATTTGTTTCATATACACCCTATATTCATAGCCTGAAGGTAATCTTATACAATATTTTTGGTTTGCCTGTGTTTTGACAACCCATTACATGAGATCAGGTGTGGAATTTTCTACTTGTGGCTTCATTTTTTGTTTTGGATTTTGGAGTATTTTGAATTTTTATATTAGGGATATTAAACCTATACTGACAAGAATATTAGGGTAGGTTGTGAAGGAGCCAAATTTTTCAGAAGGAGAATAATAATATGCTCACTTTCACATTCATAGATCCTGACAGGATTAACAAAATACTTAAGTGTGAATATCAGTCAACGTGAGAGTCTAGCAATTCATCCACATGAAAACCAACTCTAAATGTGGTAGATACAAAGTGGAACAACCCAAGTAGTTATACCTGTTGCATCAAAAAATGAGTTTGGCTCTTGTGGTTGTAATTCAAGTCCATCTTCATCCATGGCCTTTAATTCTCATCAGTCACAGCTCCTAAATCAAGGAAAAAGGTAAACCAAACATTAATGTTTTATATCATGTATTAAAAATGTCATATTTTCATTTCAGACACTCAAAATTATATGACAGATGAACATCTATGAAAAACATAATAAATAAATCAAAAGATCACTTTCACTTAGACTTCATTTTAAACTGAGGTACTGCTTACATATATCAAGTACATACACCTTGATGAATTTTTTATATTTATTTTTTAGTTGTAGTTGGACACAATCTTATTTTTTTATTTATTTATTTTTATGTGGTGCTGAGGATCGAACCCAGGGCTTTGCACATGCTAGGCGAACACCCTGAGCCACAACCCAGTCCCCATCTTGATGAATTTAACATATACATAAACCTTCATAACATTGCCCAGATCAAGATATAGAATATTTCCATGACTCTAGCATTATTGCCTCAGTCTATATACCTCACACTCCCAAGGTTAAATGGTTTTGTTAAAGTTCAACTTAAACACATTTTAAAGCTTAGTGGGGGAAATTCCTGCACAATTTTCATATAACTTCTCTAAGTTTAATAGTCTTCTTTCAATCAATATATTGAACAATGGTAAAAAAATTATAATGCATAATCGTAGTGAACACCCTTTGGGATTTCTGCTGAACTTACATGTCCTCTCTTTTAAATAACCCTCTGATTAATTCCCACAGTGTACCGACACTCTCCTGGCCTAGGTGATTGGTACTAGCTATAAAATGGTAAAAATAAATTCATCTTTGAGCACAATGAAATCAAAGTCCTATTCCTAAGAACCTGAAACCATGGGCAAGAATCAATACCTTTCCCTCTCTGTCTCTGTCCTTCTTTTACTCTCTTTTGCTCACCCTCCCACTCTCCCCCTGTTCTGGTGACTGGAGATGAGGAAGGTCATTTTCCAACTTTGGCTTAGATTAGTGAGATAAAGTTTACAAACAAAAAGTAAGAAGAACTGTGTGAATACCCTGAGAAACTGAATGGATAAAACAGGGAAGAGAGAATTATTAACAGCTTTGTGGCTCCTGGTTCTAGAAATTTCTGGGGCCCACCAATATTTCTGCCTTAGGTTTTTCAAAACATCCCAATGACCTTAATTATCCCTTTTCTACTTAAGCCAAAAACTTTTTAAAAGACCCTTAGCCAATAAAATAATGTACTTCTTAATATAATGTAATTACTGTTTCAAAAGTGCAGACATCAGAGATTGTGTTTGCTCACTTTTAAGTACTACCTAAAACCTCCCTATCTCTATTTTCACCACCTCCCCCACATACCCTACCAGGGACTGAACCCAGGGGTGCTTTATCATTAAGCTACAATCCCCAGTCCTTGGTCTCGCTAAGTTGCCAAGGCTAGCCTTGAAATCTGTAACCCTCCTGTGCTTTAACCTCCCAAGTGGCTGGGATTATAGGCTCAAACTTACCTGGTTTTATTTTATTTTATTTTTCTAATCCAACCTAAACAGAGCATCTTTCTCTGATGACGTTTCTTATTAAAATTTTAAAAAACAGAAATACAACTCAATATCTAAAGCATCAGCTATGTGACATCATTCCTTTATTCAAAAATGCTAATGGATCTCTGCTGCTTCCAAATAAAGTACAAGCTCCTGCCATTTCCTAAGCTCTGGCTCCAACCTACCTTTCCTGGCTCCTCTAACTTTCCTTTAAGCACCTCCCATACAACCATGCATGGGCCCACATACACTTCAGCAAAAACAAAAACATTCAAGTTCCTGAAAGACCCCCAACTCTGCATCTAGCTCAGGGTCCCTTCTGCCTGGAATACTTTACCCTTATCATCTCTGCTTTGGAAATAATTTCTCCATTTGAATTACCATAGCATTTTATCCTTCTTCTCTTACTGTATTTGTTTGCCATATATTATGTTTTTTATGTCTTATTTTTAGATACTAAATTACACACATGTAGTCCTTGAAATATTCATGAGAAGCTCAACATTTGTATAATAAACAAATGAATTTTCAACACGTCAGCTATGAGACATTCTACTCGTCTTGAAGAAATAGCTTGTTTCATGTTATTCAAACTGCTTCAAATTAAAGCAAATAATGGCTAGATTAATAAACAAAACAAAAAAATTGTTCAACCATGAAAACCAAAATGTACAAGCTCTGAATAAGTCTTCCCTGCCCTCTCCTTGCCAAAATCACCTCTGGCCATAAAATTCTTTTCCCCTTTAAAAATGTAATTATAAAATGATAAGTGCAAGTTAATCTTCTAAGCCTAATGAAATATTACAAGAAATTAAGCCAATTAAGAAGGCAATAAAGGGGCTGGGATTGTGGCTCAGCAATAGAGCTCTTGCTAGCATGTGTAAGGCGCTGGGTTTGATCCTCAGCACCACATAAAAATAATTAAAATAAAGGTGTTGTGTCCAACTATAACTAAAAATTTAAAAAAAAAGAAGGCAATAAAGGGGATTCGTTAAGGTACTTAAGCCCATTTCCCTATATAAACCCAATCCCATCACAAGCTCTAAAAATTCTCCACCTGCAAAACAATTCTGTCTCTTGGCTTTCCTCCTCCTTGGTTTTCTATTAGAGTGTGACAGATAATCAATTCCCTTGATTTTGAAGTTCAGTCCTTCCTCTGTTTCTGCTAGCCAGCAAGCCACCCCTCACCCCTTACCATGGCCTTGTCCAGACGAGTGCACTCAGCCCTCTTCTGCTTTCTATTCTCGTGGTTCAACTACCATTTGCACAAAGATGAGTCACAAAATCCATATACTCAAGGTAGGTAGGACCTAACATCACCAGACTGAGTATATTCATCTGGATAAAACCTATCTTTCTCCTCACAAAACCACTATGGCCTTTTACTTTCTTCCCACTTACATTCAGTCAGGTTGCCAATCTTGTCAATTACTTCTCCAGGACTTCTCAGGAATCTGTCCCTGTTATTATCCCCTTCACCACTCCCCCTCAGTTTCGTATTTCCGGATCCCTGAGGCATGAAAATAGCCTCTCAAGTGGCCTTGCTTCTTTCTGCCACTCCAACAAATGACCAGGAACCCTATAAGGGCTGGTGCCAAGGACTGAGGCTTCCTGCAATCTGCAAATTAATCCTCCTGACACACTGCTTTGATCATGGCGCTGCCCTGCTCAGAATACTCCCAATATTCAGGGGGCTTGACAATATTAACCTAACATACCATGATGGATTTATTTGCTGTTATTCCCAAACTTTTAACATCATATGCACTTCCTAACAGATATTTATTCTGGCCTACATGGTAGGGGCCCACTTACCTCATCTTGACTTAGATAAGCAATAAACCATTCAGATTATTTTCCCTTCTGTTTTGTCATTATAAAAACACAAACAGGGGCTGGGGTTGTGACTCAATGGTAGAGCGCTTGCCTAGCATGTGCGAGGCCCTGGGTTCAATCCTCAGCACCGCATAAAAATAAATAAAATAAAGCTATTTGTGTCCATCTACAAATGAAAAAAATTAAGAAAAAAAACTCAAAACAGGGAAAAAATACATTTTGTACTTACAAGCAGAAATGCTGATACCTCAACTTTGTAACCCCTCAGCAGTTAGAACTGATAATTCCCTCTGACAAAATGAAACCATGTTCTTAGAATGGTAACTACTCAGAAGGGTTCTCAGGATTGTGAAAAAGGGTAGAAGAGAGTGGATTGCTGATGAGACAAAAATAAGAAAGGTTCAAAGAACCAAAAACCAAAGGATACAGGTGAACAAGTACTAACATTTATCAAATGCCCTCAAAATATTTTTGGGACTCCGCTATCACTTCAAATTCAGTAAAGTATTCCCTTCCTGCTCCTAAGAGTCACAATCCTGAAAATAATTTTGAAAACATTCACAAGGGGAAAATGAAATTTTAAGGGAAATAACGGATTGGGAGAGAAACCCAGAAAACTCTTAAAAACTTCCTTACACCAATTCTTTAAATTAAAGCAATAAAAATACCCTAGCAAGTTAACAGGTATAGGGGCTGGGGTTATGGTTCAGTGGTAGAGCGCTCACCTCACACGTGCAAGGCCCTGGGTTCAATCCTCAGCACCACATACAAATAATAAATAAATAAATAATAAAGTTTTTAAAAAAAGTTAACAGATATAACAGAGGCATATTATCTACCTTAAATTAGGAACTGTCAATACAATTTATCGGTTTTATATTTCTTTATACCTAAACACTTCTGTGCTCTCTCTTTGGCAAATTAATAAAATTATATATATATATATATATATATTATATGTGTGTGTATATATGTGTGTGTGTGTGTGTGTGTATACACACACACTTACTTTGCTTTTTTTTTTTGGTAAATGTGCATACAAAAATCACTTTTCCACTTGTGGCTTCCTGAAAACTCATTGTCTTTTAATTCTATGACTCATTTCTAATTTATCTCCATAAGTCACGCTCAAAGAACCCAATTTTATTATAAGTGGTACATGGAACTGCTCAAGCTGCAGGAATAGCAAACAAAAGCAAATCTGTCTACAGAATTTTTCTGGAGGAAATTGGAACTGATGAAATTTAAAGCCTAATTAAGGGCTGGAGATGCAGCTCAGCGGTAGAGCCTTGCCTGGCATGGATGAGGCCCTGGGCTCCATCCAAAGTGCCACCCCAAAATAAACAGATGAATAAATCCTAATTAATTAATAAGTTACAATCTTTTTGTCTCAGCCTCCCAAACAGTTGGGATTACAAGTGTGTGCTACAGTCCCTGGCTTTATTCACCTTTTTTTATTTTTGGTATCAGGGATTGAACCCAAGGGCACTTTATCACTAAGCAATATCCCCAGCCCTTTTTATTATTTGAGACAAGTCTCCCTTAGTTGCTTAGGGCCTCCCGAATTTGCCGAGGCTGGCCTTGAACTTGAGATCCTCCGGCCTCAGCTTCCTGAGCTGGTAGAATTACAGGCATGTGCCACTGCACCCAGCTCTATTCTTTCTTATTATAGGATATAAGGACCCATAATTCTGGCCTG